TGGTGATCACTTAATTCACTTCTAAGTTTCACTCTCTGTGACAGTATTTTTGAGGGGCACCTGTGAAGAAAAAAAGTTCACACTTGAGACTTGTCAGTCTAGAATGATTTCTCTTGTATTTTTCAAGGCAAGGGAATAGTCCAAATCATAAAATTTAATCCTTTGGGATATTTTGGAAAACTTTCAATAATAAGCAGGATAGTAACTTCAGAAAAGTTAATTCTGCACCAGCACTAAAATTATTTACCACAGTATTCACTCAACAATATGTACATACTATGGCTGGTTGACATTTTTCTAATTTCCATTTATCAATGACATTTTTGTCTAAACCTTCTCAAAAAAAGAAAATTCTCAGATTTGATTGTGGTGGTTTGTTTGTTTTGTTTGTTTGTTTTTGTTATTCCACAGGCCATAGAGCTGTCAGTTTTGAAAATGTCTGAAATGTAAAAACAGTAAAATTTAATATCCTTCAGATGAGTTCTGAATTTATGTGGCAGATATTGCTTCCACTCTGTAGCATTCTTCCTGACAGTATGCAAAGGGGCATTCTCTTCAGAGAGAGATGCATCCAACACCATACCAATTGTTCTCCACTGCACACACTCCCCAGAGTCGCTGATGAGGCAAAAGAAGAGCTAAAAACGGACCCAAAGTAGAGAAACTATTCTTTCCATGTAATATATTGTGTACATTTTCTACCCCTTCTGGGCTGTAGCAGCATCAGCCATTGTTAGATGTTTTTGCTTCTCAAAAAATGTGGTGTTGTTTTTTTTAATGCCAAAAAAGGCTCTGTGACCCTCACAGTCTGTTATTTATTAACAGAAGTTATGTTGTGGTGAGGTTGGTTTAAGTGCCCAATGCAAAAATGCTGACTGTCAGATGTTTGCATCTTAATAAGGATGTCTGTGCTGGTGAGCTTTCAGGGATAAAGTCCCAAATAGTTTTAGTATCTCACTGCATGTTTTCCTCAGCCGCAATGGGGAGAAACTTACTAAGTTGGAAAACATTTTCAGAACAGCCTTTTCCTTCTAAAAATCTTAAGCACATGATATTTTCAAGGTCTAGAAATGCACTTTTATTTTATAAGTTACGTATTAAACAGCATGCAGACAGAGGATCGTAAGCCTAAAATAGTGAATTTTACATAGCTTTTATTATGGAGTGAGAGTCTCTTCTCCTTAGTTAAGGTTGCAACCAGGATTTGGAAGGCTAATTTTAACCTCCTTTGTAAATCAAAAAACAATAAATGCTCATGTTTCAAATGTATATGGTTAAACCTGGTGTGCATTCTTAAAAACTTGGGGAAAATGAGTATGTATTGAGACTAAGCACCTTAAAACTGGTTCCTTTTTAAAAGGTTGCAAATTGTCTAATGTTTCTGTCTCCTTCTAGCAGTGCAACCAAATTACCCAACCCCCCAAAATTCCATGCAAATGTAGATTTTAACATAGACTTATGCAAAGAGGCAGTTTACAAGGGCAGGATAGTAAAATGTTAAAGAAATGTACATTATTGTCCTAATGAAGCAAGGCCCTGAACTCAACTTCATGGCATTTCTCCATTTGTCTGCTACACACAACTTCCCAAACCCAGTGAAAATCCTCTGTACTCATTTCCCCACTGAAATTTACCCTTTCCCAACCTCACCACTTTTAGAAAAATCTCCCCCTTCTGGTGAACTCCACCATCTCTCTCTCTCTCTCTCTCTCTCTCACACACACACACACACACTCTCTCTCTCTCTCTCCTCTACTTTAGTTCCACCCCACCCACTTTACCTAATCCCCCTATGAAATACCCACTCTCCCTAGAGCCATCTCCCCAAATGAAATTACCCTACTATCTTCCTCCCCTGCTGCCTCCTCCCCCTTGAAAATCCTCCGACTAACATTCCCAGTGTTCTTCCCCCGATACAGCCAGTACAGCTTGTTGCCTCACCACCCCTATGAAGCTCCCTAAGTAAGAATCATCAGTGAAATCACTTCAAGTGCCTCAAACCCATCCCATTAAATCTACCTTCCTACTGCCTCAAACTTCCCCTGCTGAATATTCTTCAAGTCCATCACTTCAAACCACCATCACTTACATGCCCACTGTCTCAGCACTCCCCTACTGCCAGTAAATCACCCTCACTGTCTCATCTCAAGCCACATTTGGTGACAACCGTGCCTCAGACCACCACCCCTTGATGAAATCTCACCAACCTCCCTAGTGAAATACCCCTCCTTCAGTCCTTGCCCATGAAATCCCAACCCACTGCCTCAATTCCTCTTCTCCATCCTTTCCCTTGCTACTATCCCCACCCTCCATAAAATACCCCCACACTGCACCTCATCCCCTCACAAAATCCCAGTATTGCCTCACCATTCATGCTGCTGCCTCCTCCACCTCAGCTCAAATCCTCCCCCTCCCCCACCTCCACCCCCATACCCATACCCATCCCCATCCCCACACTGCTACCCTGTTTCCTCTTCTCTTTTTCTATCTCAGGCTCCTCTTAATGATGTTCACCCACTCCCATTCCTCATGGTGGTACTTACCTTCCCCTGTACTTCAAACCCCTCACCCTGCCTCACCCAGGTATACACAAGACCTTAACCTTGTGGGACATGTTTCCCAAATGCTCATTTATGCCCCTCTCTTCTGTCTCTCTGTTCTGTTACTCAGAATTACCTATCTGATGGCTGCAACGTAAGTCAGAAGAATTTCAGAACTTGAGGCCTTATCCATAGAACTTGAATATTGGCCCGGCACATGGACTTCAGTGGGACTCTGCCAAGGTGCAGGGGTTTATTGTGTAGTCTCGGGGCCTTGAAGAATAACTGTGGAGCATTCTTTCTGATTTCCCTCTGGCCACACATTCTGTCTCACCAGCAGGCTTCCTACTTTTCGGATACTCAAAGAGTTTCATATTTGTCTTTACACCGGTAGCTGTTTGTTCTTCAAATTCCCTCTTAATCTCCATTTTACATTTTATCTACCAAAATGTAAATTCTGTTCTGTTATCACTTGTTAGGTTACTTTTTTAAAAAGATTATTTTAGTGTGAAAAATCTCGTATTCCCTGCCATTTAGCATGGTATTTTTCTTGCTCCTTGTTCTTAGCTATGCATACCACCTGTGACTCTGATAAGTGATTATGTGGATTTTCATTTCCCAACTTTCCCATTAAGTTGTTACTAACTTCCTCATTTATTCTTTAAATCCCTCTCCTGAAGTTTAGTGTCACAGTACTTACCTACTGATAAGATTTCTCTCTACAAGGATCTCCCACTTAATTATGTTGTAGTCCAGGGGCGGGCAAACTTTTTGGCCTGAGGGCCGCATCGGGTTTAGTAAATTGTATGGAGGGCAGGTTAGGGGAGGGAGTCGTGGCCTGGCCCCCACCTCCTATCTGCCCCCCCCCCCCGGGGGACTCCTGCCTCATCCAATCCCCCCTGTTCCCTGACGGCCCCTCTGGGATCCCTGCCCCATCCACACACACCCGGACCCCCCCCGCCCCATCCAACCCCTCCTCTCATTCCTGACGGCCCCCCCGGGACCCTTGCCCCATCCAACCACCCCTTCTCCCTGTCCCCTGACTGCCCCCTCCTTCCTGACTGCTCCCCCCCAGGACCCCTGCCCCCATTCAACCCCCTGTTTCCCCCCTGACCACCTCGATCCCTATCCACACCCCAACCCCCAACCACCACCCCGAAATCCCCTGCCCTCTATCCAACCCCTGCTGTTCCCTGCCCCCTTACCACGCTGCCTGGAGCACCGGTGGTTGGCAGTGCTACAGTCGTGCCGCTCGGCTGGAGCTGGGCCACGCCGCCACCACCACCACGCAGCACAGGCCGGGCTCTGCAGCTGCGCCGCCCAGAGCATTGCGCCAGCAGCAGAGTGAGCAAGCTGAGGCTGCGTGGGAGGGGGACAGTGGGGGAGGGGCCGGAGGCTAGCCTCCCAGGCCAGGAGCTCCGGGGCTGGACAGGATGGTCCCGCAGGCTGCATGTGGCCCGCGGGCTGTAGTTTGCCCACCTCTGTTCTAGTCACTAGTGTTAGCATTTAAGATTGACACTAAGTCCATACCTTTCAGTCTCATTTTTGCACTTGAGAAAAGGCAACTTATTTTCTTATCCTTCTTGACCTCAATGTAATAAAGGCCCAGATCCTTAAAGGAATTAAGGTGCTTAACTCCCATTCATTTCCATCATGGAAACTCTGTTCTTGGACTCACAGCCTCAAAATTGCAATGAAATCCCTATTGATGCTATAAATATGTTAATCAAATGCTGCCTTCTTCACAGAGGCCACTCACTTTTTGAGCTCATCCTTAAACAGTTGCTCACCTTAGCTCTGCCCCTGACGTGACAAGTAATAGAAAGGCTAAAAAGCTGAAGCACAGAACTTGAAACCTTGAGAGAGGAAAACATTTTTCCTTTTCTGTATTGTGGTGGTTGTTGCATTGAAATATAACAGAAAGAAAATGCAAACAGATTACCTTTAATATATAAAGGATGGCAAATGTATAAAATATAATATGTT